GGGGGTAAATATTTTCACGAAACGTATGTTCGCCACCACAGCAACCTAACTAAACACACTATATTTATTGTATTTTATGATTGATGATAAAAACAATAAATATTTGCGTATTTTTATCATCAATCATAAGCATTCAATAAATATAATGTATTTAGTTGGGTTGCTGTGGTGGCAAACAAACTTTTCGTGAAAATATTCATCCCCCCCCCCCCTGTCATGTAGCCCACGAGGATTTTTTGCGAACTTGCGCGTGACTTATAAATTACTTCTTTTGAATTGTTACTCGACAAGTGTTATGGGAGGTTTTCTCTGTTCAAGTGCAATTAATGTTATCAATTTTTCGATTGGGACTATTTAACAATGAATTGCTTCTGGATACTGTAATCTAAATACATATGAAGACGAAGAAGTGGCATTTATCGGGCAGAGGCATTGCAATGGCGCCATATTTCACGAAATATCGAATGACACAACATCGAAGATAAAATACACTGCACTGTTTCAAAACTTGCTGAAACCTTCTTTGAAATCTTCTTCAACCATTTATGACTATGTAAAAGTGCGACAACTGGATAATATTTGCCAGATTCGGCGATAAAAAGCAAACAAGACGGCAAAATATGGCTGAAATCGTGTTTTCGTGGGGGGTAAGTGAAATAAAATGTATTATATTTAAAGAAAACAATGACGATCCTTATGAAATCAACAATATTTATATTAAATTAAGCATAGTTTTTCACCCCATGATAATTTTTTTTAGGAAATAAGAATATTTAATTTCTGCCAGGCATATTAGTTATTTTGTGCATAATCAGCAATTTACCTGGGGTGGTGCATAGTCATTTTCTGGTAAAATATTATACTTAGACAAATTTTTCTTCCAATGACCACCCCTAAAGCAACCCTTCTAAACACTATAAGCACTTCAGAAAGGCTATCGCTTTTCCTTTTCGGAAGTTAGAGCTATGTCGACACTGCCATTTCAGGGCGGGGTCATTTTCAGGACTTTCGTCCCGGATTCAGGTTTTGGCACATATGCCATGTTGACCGCCATGGTCAATTTAACCTAAAACAGTTGAGATTAGCATTTTATTATTCCTAAATGAAACGCATACAAACTCATATACAGGTACTAGACTATATGAGTTTACCTCCGTATCTATATGAATTTGTCTCCTTATACTCCTGATGGTGTATATGACGCATAATATAATAGGCGGATATTTCAAATGGTCGGGCTGCACCATTCTAAAATGTGTCAATTCCACAGTTCGTTCCTTACGTTTGACGGGACTCGAACCCGCAGTCTTCGGCTTATAAAGTCGACGCCTTATCCGTTAGGCCACGAAGGCTTACATAGGAAGTTCCAATAGTTCTACTTCCTTATAATCCCCAATAATTGCGAGGGATTCTGCAATGACGTAAGAATGTCATCGAGTTCACGCTATATAATAAATTAATTTATCCGCGAGTCTAAGGGGAGAATTCGCCTTGAGAATGAGGTCAGAAGGCGATGTTCGGCTTAAAAACCTGGCGCCTTATCCTCTAGCGCACGAAACCTTTAGCTTACGAAGCCTTGCGCTATGGACCGTAGAATAGTTGTGCTTCCTTGTAATCCATAAAATGTTGGGCTAGCACTACAAAAATGTGTCCATTCTCAAATCTACTGACGTGTCATTAGGGACATGCAGTGAATTTACCTCCGACGGGACTCGAACTCACAACCTTCGATTTAGAATGCCGACGCCTTATCCCCACATTGCGACATGCAATAGTTCATATATTTACTGACCTGGCTATGATTATTGGCAAGAATTCAATAAACTTCAAAATATTTTACGAATTTATTATTGGCAAAGCAATGTTCGTGTTATTATAATAAATTTACCTCCTCATTTGCATTACAGTCGTTCTCCTAGGCAAAGATCAGCTTGCGTCCTTACCTCCGACGTTTTGTAACGCATAACCCATTTGAAGTTGTTTGGCTGCATATAATTAAAAATTTAAAAGTTTAGCGATTATACAACGTTGGGCTCACACCAACCTCGTTCCCAGGGCTTCAGTGTGAGGACGAGGCGAGACACGAGGAAGCCTTGGTCCGGGCCGGTCACGTGACGTCAAAAAATGGCAGTATTTGACAGCTACTCGTCAAGGAGTGGCGAGATCACTGCTGCCACTCGTAGGGGGATTCCCCTACAGTAGGGGATTATGACATCTTGTAGGGAGTGGGGAATACCTACGGGGAGAAAAGGTAATCTGTAGGGGAGCGTAGGGGATTTCTTCACGGTTTGAATTGAAAAAAAAATTGTGTGTCTGTTTATGGTATTATGAATTACAGAATGGAACTAGCACTATTGAACTGCAGGATAATCAGGATTTTTCATGGAAACAACTAGAAATTTAGATTTGAATTGAATGTGGAAGCACTGGAATATGTGATATAATAACTCCACGTCTCCGGTCTCCACGACAGTGCTTCCATTTTCATAGAAATTTCCTTTTCTAAGGAAATTCTAGTGTCTATATTAAAAACCGGAAACATCTGTATCGTAGATGATAATTCAGGATTACAGGGGAAATGCGATATTTGTAGGGGAACGTAGGGAAATGTAGGGGAAAATTACACATTGACTTGTAGGGAAAAGTAGGGGATTTTAGTACTAGCCTTAGGTGAAAATAGGCTATTGAGAGTGGCAGCTCTGGGCGAGATATTCTTTAATGAAATATACAAGTCTTCGAAACAAATGAATAGCCAAAAGACTTCTCAATCGATATTATTTATGTGTAGAGCGAAGTTTGACACGAATCAGCTAAAATCTATGAAGATCCCGGCTATGTTTTCTAAGATATACCGATATTTCTGGAGATTTTCAACTACAGGCAAAGCTCTGCATCCAAGCTGCATCTAGGCGTCTCCATGCAAGTGGTGATTCACACGAAATTTCCTTTCTCTCGTCTTGAACAATATGGCTATTGTTATAATTAATATTTAGTTTAAATATGCTCTTATAGATCTGACTTAGTTCAATATATTAAATAAACACAAATATAAAACCTCGCGTAACCTGTTTACGCTGTACAGGAATATACGGTTCGCTTGTTTCGCCGGACACCAACACTTGCCGTTCAGGAGCAATGCTTGCCTACAAATTTTATCCCCTTCACAATTTTTGTTTTATTTTGTCGTATAGTCGCAATTTTCAAGTATTCGGCGTATTCTGAAACTGAAAAACTGGGTGGCGTGCGAATCTTGTAGACTACATCGGCCTAGGCGTAGAGCTATTAAGTAAACAGGGCCTAAATTAATTTAGTAGTTTCATTTAATTGTTTGTCTTGCTTTTATTTGTCAGTACAGAATATTGTAAATTAAAATATTACTACAATGCAATACGCGTAGTATTTCATCAGACATCTGCACTAATAAATACTGTACAAGGAAAACTTAAATAATAGTAGACATTTCTTGTTTTGTCAGGAAACATCACAGCTCACTTCGACACGGCTTTTGAGTTTTGTAACCGGCCGAGGCGAAAGTAAATCGTGCAGTCGGGAAAACGTCTTACTTTCAAAGATTATTTTGCAAATCATACTCGTACACACAAGAATCATAAAAATACAAATGTTGAATTGTATTGTAATTTGTTATTGTCAACCGTCAAGTTCAGTTATTTTTAGACAATATGGTGTTAGCCAATCAGAATGCAAAAGTGACCGGCCCGGACCAGGGCTTCCTCGTGTCTCGCCTCGTCCTCACACTGAAGCCCTGGGAACGAGGTTGGGCTCACACTATTCTAAAATTTGGCCATTGTCATGTCGATCTTGCGGTTCGTGTCCTTCCGACTTGACTCGAACACGCAATCTTCTGCTTAAAATAATGTAAAGTGTACAGATGCACCCACAAAATCAAAAAATGGAATGTATACAGCGAATTTACCTTACCTTCGACGGGACTCGAATACGCAATCTTCGGTTTAAAAAGCCGACATTCCCCTTATCAGTTAGCCACGAAATCTTGGGGATTCTATTATGGCAAAAGTCCAAAACATTATACGAATTTATTATTGGCGAACCTTTTCTCGTGTTACTTTATAAAATTAACCGCCTCGGTACCCAGGCGTTTAAATAATTATAATACTTGTAGTATTTAGGCAGGCAGGCAACTTGCGAAGGAGAGCGCCTGACAGTGCTTGTATACTGCCATGTCAGTTCTTGCGTACTCCCATGCACCTCCGACTGGACTCGAACCCGCAATCTTCGGCTTAGGAGGCCGACGCCTTATCCATTAGGCCACGAAGGCTTACATTGATGGTTTAGGTAGATTTTCTGATTTACGATGCGTTATTGTAGGAAGCCCTCACCAGCATGGTTCAGCATGAGCTCCACCTTTGAATTTACTAAATGAGTAAATTGTTAAACACGTCCGATTTGATCATTATGATAAATTCGCGGCACCCAACCCCTAACACTAACCGAAACCCCAACCCGAACCGTAACCGTAATACTGGACTATAGAAAGTTCTGCAAAATTTCTAGAGGGGCTGAGAATCGAACTTGTACCCTTCCCTGCTTTCTTTTTGTGGCTTTAGTTTTTTTTCTTCCTTTTTGGCGTCCTTTTTCGCGAAAAAATGTTATTATAGTGAATTTGTATCCTTGACACCCATTTCAAAAGGTTACGCCATTGTTCAATCTATGTGCGCGTCATTCAAAGAAATATTAGACCTACAATGCGTGCTTGGTCACGTGACCGGTGTCAAATTGAAAACAAAAATGCCCTTATAAATCCGCCATGTTGAATTTGAGCAGGAGTGCAAACTACAAGGATTAAAACAAAGCTAAAACTAAGTTTTCATCGTCAAAAGTTTTGTCTTGCTATCTAATTTGTAGTTTGGGGATCGATTTTGAAATATTGAGTTATTTAATTTAAAGCTCAAAGCAAATGTGCAGTTTCTGGCAAAAACGGTGAAAATCGTGCAGCCTTGTAAAAACAAAGTAGTTTCGCGTAAATATAATTTACTCATAAAACATTTGCTCTGAACGTAACTGTTTTGCTAATATCTTTTGAATTTACGAAATGATAGTTTATTCTGTGTTGGGTTTCGTTTTTCTTCAAGTCTAAACGAAGTGTTTTCATGTTTTTCAAACAAAAAATTTTAGTTTTCGAAAAACTGTATTAAATCGCCTATATAGTCGTCAAAAACTATATGGTTTTAAAAGCGTTCCCTCAAGCCCAAGCAACGTAGAAAAATATAAAAAGTAATTGTGTAAGTTTAAAAAGATTATTGAACTCAATTTATATTATAAAACAGTTTTTTAGAAATATTTTTAGAACATAGGCCCTACCTGTTGAGTTTGTCTTGATTTTTAGTGTTATGTTTTGGCTTGCACCACAACGTTGAAAACGTATTTTTAAACGACGATTTCTGTATATATTCTGTTCAGAACTATTGTTTTTCGTAAAAAAAACCACGGGAATGTTTTTTTTTTCTTTACATAACATTTTTTTACACTTTATGTCTCGATATAATTGTTTTTGCAAATTTGTTGAAAAAAACAATTCGCGCTCCCTGCAACCGCGCGAAATTCCTTGCCGCAGAAGTCTGGGACCAGCTAAAATGCCCTTATAAATCCGCCATTTTGTGGAGATAAAATTTTTACTGAGAAAAGATAGGAGCACGCATTCTAGGTCTATTATTTCCATGGTGTGGAAATGCAATGGAATTTACCTCCAACGGGAGGTAACCGCAATCTTTGGCTTAGACTGCGTTCAGACTGGGTGCCCGTGAATTGTTTCGGCGCCTAGTTTTTAACACAACGCTTCCAAAAGAAATTGGGCACAGTACTCAACAACGGCACTGTGCTCGAAATGTGCTGGCACATGCACTCTTAGAAAGCCGACGCCTTATCCTTTAGGCCACGAAAGCTTGCGTTGAAATCCGTAATTATAATTATTCTGCCTTATCATCCCTAATACTAGAAAATATTCTACTGATTTACGATGCATTATTTAAAGTCCACTCAAAACACTATTTAAAAAGTTGCCTATTATCAAATGCATTTTCTCACGACACGAATCTAACCCGCACTCTTCCAGGCTCTCTTTTTTTGCTTTAGTTCTTTTTCTTCTTTGGCGTTTAAAAGATTAAAAGATTTATTTAAAGAATTTATCTCACGCTATTAAAAGATTTTGCCATTGTCAAATCTATTCATGTGTTGTTATGTTACCTCCGACGGGACTCGAACCCGCAATCTTCGGCTTAAGAGGCCGACGCCTTATTCATTAGGCCACGAAGGCTTACAATGACGGCCCAGATAGATTCCCCGCCTTAGAAAAAGAAGATGTTTAGCTAACAAAGCCGTTTAAGCCGGCGCCTTATCGTGTAGCACATGAAGCCTTTAGCCTATACCTTGCGCTAAAACGTTGGATAGTTGTGCTGCCTTGTAATCCGTCTTTATAATCATCCAAAATGATTGGCAAGGATTCCAAAATGTAAGCTTTCAAAATATAGGCAGTATATAGACCACTTTGGACAGCACAGCTGATGTGGTTGACGTTATGCACATTTCCCTAAGCTTTCTTGGCCTCGTTCTTGTTCTTTATATTCTGTTTTCGTGTCCTTATGCGGCGAATTTACCTCCGACGGGACTCGAACCCGCAATCTTCGGCTTAGAAAGCCGACGCCTTATCTGTTAGGCTACGGAGGCTTACATTGGAAGCAAGAATATTTCTACTACTTTATATTGCCTAAAAATTGTCATATTCCAATGATAAACTTCCAAAACATTCTACGAATACTATATAGAGTCGTGTTACTAGGCCTATAATAAATTTATCTCCTCTAAATCTATCGTTTACGTTCGTATCTATCGAATTTGTCTCCTTATACCCTTGATGGTTGGGCTGCACCATTCAAAAATTTGTCACTTCTATTTTCGTTCCATACCTTCGACGGGGACTCGAACCCGCAGTCTTCGGCTTCGAAAGACGACGCCATATCCGTTAGGCCACGAAGGCTTACATTGGAAGTTACAATAGTTCTACTTCCTTATATTTCCCAATAATTGCCAGGGATTCTGCAATGACGTAAGAATGTTGTCGAGTTCATGTTACTATATTAAATTAATTTATCCGTGAGTCTAAGGGGAGAATTCGCCTTGAGAATGAGTTCAGAAGGCCATCTTCGGCTTAAAAACCTGGCGCCTTATCCTCTAGCGCACGAAACCTCTAGCGCACGAAACCTCTAGCTTAAGGCCTGATTCCACGAGCGCTTTTTGTCAGCGAAATGTGAAATATTTCGCCTGTTTCTTTTGAATTGTGAGCAATCAAGTAGAAATAATTTATTCGAGTGGTCGCAATTCAAAAGAAACAGGCGAAATATTTCGCATTTCGCTGACAAAAAGCGCTCGTGGATCAGGGCTTTACAAAGCCTTGCGCTATGAAACGTAGAATGGTTGTGCTTCCTTGTAATCCATAAAATGTTGGGCTCAACTTCATAAACTTCAAAATATTTTACGAATTTATTATTGGCAAAGCAATGTTCATGTTACTATAATAAATTTACATCCTCATTTTCATTTTCATCACAGTCGTTCACCTAGGCATGAATCAGCTTGCCTCCTTACCTCCGACGTTTTGTAACGCAGAATAATAGGGGCGGCCATTTAAAGTGCCTATATCATGGTTTTGGAGTTTGCATATCTAGAAAGTTTAGGGTATTTTAATTAAGACACTTTGCAATATATTTTGTTGTTGAAAAATTTCATCTTGATGGATTTATTAGCTCTTAAAGTTACCGGACATAACGTCAAAAGGAGAATTTTGTAGCAATAATACAAAGGAAAACTGATTTGCAATTCTCCTTTTGACGTCATGTCAGGTAACTTTAAAAGCTAACAAATCCATCAAGATGAAATTTTGAATAACAAAATAAATTGCAAAGTGTCTTAAAATACCCTAAACTTTCGAGATATGCAAACTCCAAAACCATGATATAGGCACTTTAAAGTTGTTTGGCTGCTAATTAAAAATTTAAAAGTATAGCGATTATACAACGTTGGGCTCACACTATTCTAAAATTTGGCCATTGTCATGTCGATCTTGAGCTTCGTGTCCTTCCGACTTGATTCGAACATGCAATCTTCAGCTTAAAAAAAGTAAAGTGTGCAGTTGTGCCCACAAAATCAAAAAATGGAATGTACAACGAATTTACCTTACCTTCGGCGGGACTCGAATACGCAATCTTCGGTTTAGAAAACCGACATCCCCCTTATCAGTTATAGCAACGAAATTTGGGGATTCTATTTAGGAAAAAGTCCAAAACATTATACGAATTTATTATTGGCGAGCCTTTTCTCGTGTTACTATAGAAAATTAACCGCCTCGGTACCCAGGCGCTTTAAATAATTATAACACATGCATGAAGTATTTAGGCAGGCAGGCAATCGCGAAGAGGAGCGCCTGGCAGTGCTTGCATACTGCCATGCATGGCAGTTCTTGTGTACTCTCATGTACCTCCGACGGGACTCGAACCCGCAATCTTCGGCTTAGGAGGCCGACACCTTATCCATTAGGCCACGAAGGCTTACATTGATGGTTCAGGTAGATTTTCTGATTTACGATGCATTATAATACGAAGCCTTCCGTAGAATGGTTCAGCATGAGCTCCACCTTTGAACTTACTATATGAGTAAGTTGTTAATAAATACGTCTGAATTTATCAGTATTATTATTATTATTATTATTATTATTCAATATTATTATTATTATGATAAATTTGCGGCACCTAACCCCTAACACTAACCCTAACCCGAACCCGAATCTCTAACCCCTATAAACCCTAATCTAACTTTCTAAAACTTTTTTGAAAATCTAACTTTTTAAACATTTTTTTTCTTTTTAAACTTTTTTTTTGCTTTTTTAACTTTTTAAATTAAACTTTTTTTTAAGAATCTTGAAAAGCTCCTGTTATTGTCATTTTCCACTTCAATTGTATCGTACCGAAACGTAGCGTATTTCTTTGTTTCCTGACCCGTAGTGTGGAACTAATGACTTCGACACAAAAGAAAATGCCACGGTACGTTATGATACGGTTGAAGTGGAAAACAGGCTTTCGCCTCAGAGAGCACACTTCGCAACTTTCTTGGCTTCCTTTGTTTTGGGTTGAGTTATCTTTCCTTCTCGGCATTCTACTTCGGTTTAGAAACACGCAATCTTCGGCTTAGAAAGCCGACGCCTTATCCTTTAGGCTACGAAAACTTGCGTTGAAATGCGTAATAATAGTTCTTCTGCCTCATTATCCCTAATACTGGAAAATATTCTACTGATTTACGATGCATTAATTAGTAAAGCCCATTCAAAAGACTATTTAAAAAGTTGCCTATTTTCAAATGTATTTTCCCACCAGACGAATCGGACTCGCACTCTTCCAGGCTTTCTTTTTTGGCTTTGGTTTTTTTCTTCTTTGGCGTTTTTTCGGCTTTCTAGCTTAGAAAGGAAATATTAGTATAAGGAATCTCCATCCTTGTCACCCATTTCAAAAGGTTACGTTATTGTCAAATCTACATAGCTGTCATAAAACTTCAATAATTTACTTCAACGAATTTACCTCCGACCGGACTCACGCTATTAAAATATTTTGCCATTGTCAAATCTATTTATATGTCGTTATGTTACCTCCGACGGGACTCGAACCCGCAATCGTCGGCTTAGGAGGCCGACGCCTTATCCATTAGGCCACGAAGGCTTACATTGGTTGTCCAGATAGATTCCCCGCCTTAGAAAAAGACGATGTTTGGCTAACAAAGCCGTTTAAGCCCGGCGCCTTATCCTGTAGCACACAAAGCCTTTAGCCTATATCTTGCGCTAAAACGTTGGATAGTTGTGCTGCCTTGTAATCCGTCTTTATAATCCAAAATAATTGGCAAGGATTCCAAAATGTAAGGTTTCATAATATTTTACTTGAAGCTTATGAAACGAAATTTCGTACCATTTTTCCATCATTGCATTCGGAAAACAATCAAATTGACCACACAACATATACTTTGCCGTCAAACTATCTTAACTTGCGTCGTTCTTGAGATAACAGTTTTTGATATCCAAATGACTTCGCGATGACGTCACATTGCATAATGACTTTCTGAAAAAGCTTCAAGAACTTGAAAAATATATTTCCGTGTCATTGTCATTACGTCGAATTAGCCTCCGACAGGAATCGAACTCGCATTCCTCCCGCCTTTCTTCGGCTTTGGCTTTCTTTCCTTTTTTTTTTTTTTTTGCTTTCTGATTTAGACAGAAAGGAAATGTTATTATAGAGAATTTGCATCTTTGACACCCGCTTCAAAGCGTCAAGATATTGTGCTATTGGAATTTACCTCCTACGTGATTCGAAATTGCAATCTTCGGCTTAGAAAGCCGACGCCTTGTCCGCGTTAGGCGACAAAGGCTTATACATTGCATAGTCTTTCTGTCTTATAATCGCCAATAACAGGTAAGGATTTTATAGTTATAAAACTGAAAAACATATTCTACAACTTAATTATTTGAAGTGACTATATATACACACAGCCGGCAGCCGCTCATTTAATAAACTGCCGGCTATATAGTAACTATAGTTAAAGTTGAATTTTTATAAGATAACCGATCACCCTAAACCCTTCTCTAAAACTAACCCCTAACCTTTTGAGAATTAGAAAAGGAGGGGGAAATATTGTAAATTTTTTACACAACCCGACCCGGACTGCGTTTTACTTTCCGCACATAGCGCCTTTACGGTATACGCTAACGGCAAGCTCGGTAAAAGCTTGGCTGGCGAAAACAAATTAAGTTCTTATATTTATTCCTTATTAAAAAAAATGTATTGTCGAATCGATTTTCCTGTCCTAACAAAACATTTACTTCAACAAATTTAACACCGACCCATGCAGACTCACGCTATTAAAAATTTTATATTTATGTTACCTCCGGCGGGATTCGAACCCGCACTCTTCGGCTTAGAAAGCCGACGCCTTATCCGTTAGGCCACGGAGGCTTATACATTGCAAACCGGCATAGTCCTTCAGACTTATAATCCCCAATAATACAGTGATAAAATTCAAAAACATTCTACGAATTATTTATCCGAAGTGACTATACAGCAGGCAGCCGCTTATTTATAGTGACTATAGTTAAAGTTGAATTTGTATAAGATAAACCGATCACAACGCCAAACCCTTCCCTAACCCTAACCTTTTGAGAATTAGAAAAGGCGGGGGAAGAATTTTTTTTAAATTAAGAAACAAAATGCCAAGTCAGACAAAATACAACCCGACGCGGTCTGCATTTTACTTTCTGTACACAGCGCGTTTACGGTATACGCTAACGGCAAGCTCGGCAAAAACTGGACTGGCGAAAACAAACTAAGTTTTTACATTAATTAATTTTATTCCTTATTCAAAAAAATTGTGTTGTAGAATTTATTTCCGTGTCCCAACGAAGCATTTACTTCAAAAAATTCACCTCAGACCACACTCACGCTATCAAAACATTTTGCCATTGTCAAATCTATTTATGTGGCGTTATGTTACCTCCGACGGGACTCGAACCCGCAATCTTCGGCTTAGGAGGCCGACGCCTTATCCATTAGGCCACGAAGGCTTACGGCAATGGGGGTTCAGGTAGATCTCCTTATTTACGATGCATTATTACCGGAAGCCATACTATGGGCTCACAATATTTAACTAAAATGTTGCGCATTCTCAAATATATTCTCCTGTCATTGTGTGTCATCCGACAGGAATCGAACTCACACTCTTCGCGGCTTTTTTTGCTTCCTTGTTTTGGCTTTTCGGCTTTCTTTTTCGGCTTAGCCGAAAGAAAGAATCATAATAATTTGCATCCTTGCAGGCCACCAGTTCTTATGCGTTTGGGTCATTGTCAAATCGATATGCCTATCATAAAACACACTGAATTTACCTCCGACGGGACTCGAACCCCCAATCTTCGGCTTAGAAAGCCGACGCCTTATCCGTTAGGCCACGAAGGCTTGCGCTGAAAACTGCAATTAATTGTGGTTTTTCTGCCTTATTACACCACCTTTTCGCCTTTCTTCGGCTATAGCTTTCTTTCCTTCTTGGCGGGGGTGTTTTTTTTTTGCTTTCTGACTTGGAAAGGAAATGTTATTATAGAGAATTTGCGTCTTTGACACCCGCTTCAAAGCGTCAAGATATTGTGAAATTTAGATAACTGCCAATTGGAATTTACCTCCTGCGAAATTCGAAATTGCAATCTTCGGCTTAGAAAGCCGATGCCTTGTCAAAATTCAAAAAATATTCTAGTGACTATACAGCCGGAAGCCGCTTATTTATAGTGACTATAGTTAAAGTTGAATTTGTATAAGATAAACCGATCACAACGCCAAACCCTTCCCTAACCCTAACCCTAACTTTTGAGAATTAGAAAAGACGGGGGAAGAATTTTTTTAAAAAATTAAGAAACAAAATGCCAAGTCAGACAAAATACAACCCGACCCGGACTGCATTTTACTTTCCGCACGCAGCGCCTTTACGGTATACGCTAACTGCAAGCTCGGCAAAAACAGGGCTGGCGAAAACAAACTAAGTTTTTACATTAATTTTATTCCTTATTCAAAAAAATTGTGTTGTCGAATCTATTTTCGTGTCCCAACGAAGCATTTACTTCAACAAATTTACCTCAGACCACACTCACGCTATCAAAACATTTTGCTATTGTCAAATCTATTTATGTGGCGGTATGTTACCTTCGACGGGACTCGAACCCGCAATCTTCGGCTTAGGAGGCCGACGCCTTATCCATTAGGCCACGAAGGCTTACGATGATGGTTCAGGTAGATCTCCTTTTTTACGATGCATAATTATTACAGCAAGCCATACTATGGGCTCACACTATTTAACTAAAATGTTGCGCATTTTCAAATTGTCATTGTGCGTCATCGGACAGGAATCGAACTCACACTCTTCGCGGCTTTTTTCGCTTCCTTGTTTTGGCTTTTCGGCTTTCTTTTTCGGCTTAGCCGAAAGAAAGTATCATAATAATTAGGATCCTTGCGGCCTACCAGTTCTAAAGTTTGGGCCATTGTCAAATCGATATGCGTGCATGTCATTAAACACATTTGAATTTACCTCTGACGGGACTCGAACGCGCAATCTTCGGCTTAGAAAGCCGACGCCTTATCCGTTAGGCCACGAAGTGCAACAGTGGTTTTTCTTCCTTATTACTCCTGATAACTATAGAAGGGATTCTACTGATTTTCGATGCATTATTAAAAGGAACCATTCAAAAGGTTATGCTCACACTATTTAAAAAGTTGTTCATCGTCAAGTATATTTTCCTGTCATTGTCATTACGTCGTATTAGCTTCCGACAGGAATCGAACTCGCACTCTTACCGCCTCTCTTCGGCTTTCTTTTTTTTGGCTTTAGTTTTCTTTCCTTCTTGCATGCATGGCGTCTTTCGGCTTTTTGGCTTGGAAAGGAAATGTTATTATAATGGTTTAAATCCTTGGCACCGGTTTCAAAAAGTACGTCATTTCAAAGCTAAATACGTGTGGTTAAGTACAATTGATTTTACCTCGAACGGGATTCGAACCCGCAATCTTCGGCTTACAAAAGCCAACGCCCTATCGGTTAGGCCACGAAGCAACTGCATACTGTAGTCTTTCTGCCTTATAATGCCCAATAACCGACAAGGAATTTACAGTGATAAAACTAAAAAAACAGTTTACGAATATATTATTCGATGTGACAATACAGCCGGCAGCCGCTTATTTAGTAAACTGCCGGTTATATAGTGACTATAGTAAAAGTTGAATTTTTATAAATAAACCGATCACCCCAAACCCTTCTCCAACCCTAACTCCTAACCTTGACCCTAACCTGTTGAGAGTTAGAAAAGGAGGGGAGAAATTATTTTAAAAAATTAAGAAAAAGAATCCAAGTCAGACAAAACAAACCCCGACCCGGACTCCGTTTTACTTTCCACACACAGCGCCTTTACGGGCAAGCTGAGCAAACGTTTTTGTATTTATTCGCCGTTTAGAAAATTTCATTGTCGAATCTATTTTCGTATCCTAACAAATTTACCTCCGACGAGACTCATGCTATTAAAACATTTTGCCAATGCCAAATTAATCTGTTTATGTGTCCATTATGCTACCTCTGACGGGACTCGAACCCGCAATCTTCGGCTTAGGAGGCCGACGCCTTATCCATTAGGCCACGAAGGCGTATTTTAATGTTTCAGGTAGATTTTCTGATTTATATGGAGCATTATTAGAGAAAGCGATCAACAAAATGATTAAGATTACATTATTTATTAACTAAAACGTTGCCTATTGTCAAATATATTTTCCATGCAGCATTGTCATTACGTGGAATTAGCGTCCGACAGAAATCGAACTCGCACTCTTCGCGGCTTTTTTGTCTCCAATATTTTGGGTTGAGTTTTCTTTCCTTTTCGGCTTTCTTTTTCGGCTAGCTTAGAAAGATAGTGTCATTATAATTTGCATCCTTGGCATGATTCCAGTTCAAAAGCATTTGGGTCATTGTCAAATCTATATACCTGTTATTACATACAACAGAATTTACCTCCGACGGGACTCGAACCCGCAATCTTCGGCTTAGGAGGCCGACGCCTTATCCATTGGGCCACGAAGGCGTATATTAATGGTTCAGCTAGAATTTCTGATTTATATGGAGCATTATTAGAGCTAGCTAGGAAGACATCAGTAAAATGGTTAATTAAGCTTACACTATTTATTAATTAAAACGTTGCGCATTGTCAAATATATTTTCTATGCAGTACATAGATATCTTATATACACTAGATAGCGCATCTTTTTTAGTAAAATTGAAGCCAAGAATATTCCAGCGGTTACCCCCATTTGAATAGATGGCGGCCATGTTGGTCGTTGCGACTTAGTAATAAATGCTTAAAACCACAATAACTTTCATCATGTATTTGATATAATGTATTTGGAATAGGGTTAACTTAATGTTTTTAAAAGTTCCCTGATTAAAAAATATAAAACATACGAATCTTCTCATTTCATGGGAACGACCTGAGGCTGCAATCATGGCTTCAATTTTTGAATTACAGAATAATTAGATGCACTATCTATAGTGTATATAAGAAATCTATGATGCAGTCATTGTCATTACGTGGAATTAGCGTCCGACAGAAATCGAACTCGCACTTTTCTCGGCTTTTTTGTCTCGAATCATGGATTGAGTTTTCTTTCCTTTTCGGCTTTCTTTTTCGGCTAGCTTAGATAGATAGTGTCATTATAAATTGCATCCTTGGCACCCAGTTCAAAAGTTTGGGTCATTGTCAAATCCGTATATATCTGTCATTACATACAACAGAATTTACCTCCGACGGGATTCGAACCCGCAATCTTCGGCTTAGAAAGCCGACACCTTATCCTTTAGGTCACGAAGGCTTGCGCTGCAAACAACGATTATATAGGTTCTCTGCCTTATTATCCCTAATAATTGGAAACGTTCTACTGATTTGCGAAGCATTATTTAAAGCAGCCATTCATAAAGGTTATGCTGACAAAATTTAAAAAATTGCCTACTGTCAAATATATTTTCCTGACATTGATTGTCATTACATGGCGTTCTTTTTCAGCTTTCTGGCTTGGAAAGGAAGTGCGATTATAATGAATTTGCATTCTTGGTGCCCATTTCAAAAGGTTACATCATTTACTCATTGTCAAATTTAATTGGGTGTCGTAATACCTGATTGAATTGAATTTACCTCCGATGTGATTCGACTGAAGGCAATCGTCTAGTTCTTCTACTAAAGCCCAGTTTACGTGAGACCGGAACGAAGTCAAACGGTACCATTTCGTTTAGGTCACAGTAATAGACAGATTAGATTGAGGACGTGGACGTCAAAGACGACGTGAAAATGGCGTGTTGTACCCATGTATGGATATACCACGCCATTTTGACGCCATTTTCACGTCGTCTTTGACGTCCGCGTCCTCGATCTAAATCTGTCTATTATCCCCGAGCCGACGGCGCAAAGCGCCGTGCGAGGGTACTAATTTACCCCGGCTATTTACACCCGGGGAAACGAAAGCATTAGCGAATTCTAAAGTTCACCAATGATCGCGGGCGTGGCTCACTGTGCGTGGTCATCCTCACGTGGTCATCCTCACTGATATAAAAAATATGGCGGACTGTCATGAATAGCGAACACTGTGATTGGTCCAATTTAAAGTTTGCTGGCCTCAAACCAGCATGAATTCAAACAGGGATGAATGTAAGCACAAATACATTTCTGACATTGGAAAAGCAAATGCTATCAAAAGCCATCTAAAAAAGAAAATTGCCTGGGCCGCCTGCAGGCAAGCGGAATAAATTGAAAATTTTGTGATTTTCGTACCGGTCTCATATAAAAATGTAGACAAATTTAATTTCCTTTCCGGTTTGACTTCGTCCAGGTCTCATGTCAAACGAGGCCTTAGAAAGACGACGCCTTTTCCGTTTGGCGACAAAGGATTATCGTTTGTATTCTAAAAGCTCACATCATGCTCACACGCAACTATCTGGACTTCTCTTGAGTGTCAGTGCTGTTTTTCAATTTATAGCTGGAGGGTGAGTAGTCACATATTAGGGTACAACACTAACCCTCCAGCTATTTAAAAACAGCACTGACACTAAAGATTGAACCTCCACTCTTTGAGTTTGAATAAGGTTTTAGAATACAGGCGTATAAGTTGCAAACTGCACAGCCTTTCTGCCTTATAATCCCTAATAACTGACAAAGGATTTACAGTGATAAAACATTGCACAAATTTGTTATTGGCGAACAAATGTTCGTGATATTATAATAATGACCTCCTTGTACCCATTCAATTAAATTAATTTCTGTATCTATGAAATTGTGTCTTCCTCCCTCCGACTATTTTTAATGCGTAATAATCGGTGGAAATTTAAAATTGTTGGGCTACGCTTTTCAAAAAAATGTGTTGTTGAATCCATTTTCGTGTCATAACTAAACATTAACTTCAACGAATTTACCTACTACGGGACACAAGCTGCTAACTTCGGCTTAAGATCTAGAGGCCGACGCTTTATCCATTAGACCACGAAGGCTGACATTTATTGACGAGAAGATCTCTTCAATTATGACGCATAATTATAGGCAACCTTCTTAATAAATGGTTACTATAGGCTCACATTACTAAAAATTTGCCCATTGTCAAATATATTTATGCGTCTTTGTCATTACGACGAACTACGCACTCACTCTTTGCTTAAAATTGGGTTTTTTCTTGCGATTCCACAGTTGCGTTGGAACGTCGCAGCATTCCTGAACGTTTTGGCGCAGAAACATGACACCAAAAACTGCCGAAAAACTCCGTATCCAAATTAGCTGAATATTCCCCCCCCCCCGCTTCCCATCCCCCCATAAAAAATATAATACCAGGTCAGCTGCCATTGGTACTTTTAAATGGAATGATCCATAACCTTTTTCTATCATATCCATATTTCTAGATCTCCAACTATGGCAGGTGGTTTATTTGCAATGTCTAAACGTTTCTTTTATGAATTGGGTTCTTATGATACCAATATGTCATATTGGGGAGGTGAAAACTTGGAACTATCTTTCAGGGTAGGGAATTTATATAATCTGGTCATTATTGTCAGCGGTTTTAAATTCGTGCACCTTAAAATGGGAGGAAAATAGAGATTTTCATTTTATCAATATGACCCTGGAAAATTCAATTTTCAACAATGTGAACATTTTGTTCAAAATTGCAAACCACTAGAATATAATATACTGTATTATTCAGTCTTAGGAATTAGTGATTGAATCTAGGATTCAATCATTCAACTTAGGACTCACTAATTCAATCTTCAGGTTCAATGATTTAATCTTCAGAATCAATATCCTACACTTGATGTGTAATTATTCATGTTAGGAGTCATTGAATCAATCTTAGGAATCAATGATTGAATCTCACAAATCAATGACCAATTTTGCAATTCCATAATTCAATCTTAGCTGTCAATAATTCAATCTTAGGATTTAATTATTCAACTTAGAATTCAATCATTCCTCATCCTGTAGGATGAAGTAATTCAAATCAATTCAACGATTTTCTCTATGAAATAAATGTTTAATATGGTAGGATTCAGGATCCAGTTTTAGAACTTAATATATAAGTCAATCAGAAAAGCCGATAGTACCAACAGAGGATTTAATGATTTAGTGATCCAATACCCGATTTCCAACACATAAAATTCAAGAATCTCTAAATCCTGTTCGTTTACATTGCAGATATGGATGTGTGGTGGCACGATAGAAATTTTAACCTGTTCAAAAGTCGGTCATGTATTTCGTGATACTATGCCATACATGACAGGGAGGGGCACGGCCGAGAAAAACATCAAGCGTCTAGTTGAAGTTTGGTTAGATGATTATAAATCATTCGTATATTCAATGAAGTCTCAATCTTTCCTTTCTCTGGACGCTGGTGATGTAGTAGAGAGACAGGAACTAAGAAAGAGGTTACAATGCAATAGTTTCTCATGGTATCTCCAGAATGTCATTCCGGAATTACGCATTCCAGATCCAAATCCGTTGGGAAGAGGAGAGGTTTGAGTGCTTCTTAATCACCATTTAATTATTTCCATGATTTAGTAAATTACATTAATTACATTAATTAAGTAAATGACAACTAGATGTAAGGTGGGCCATTACCTTAGCAAGAGAATTCAGTTACGCATAAATTGTACAATGCATGGGCAAATTTCATATTCAGTTTTCTCTGTCGGCGAAACAAGAGAAACGTTTTGTATTTCCAAACCAAATTTAAGCAAAATCTAATTTATTTTGTCATTATTCGCATAAATTTTCATATAAGACAAACGTATAGACAAACAGAGTTGAATGCATTGCATGATTTAGCACTTTTAAATTAGTCCAAATAACTGCGCCTTTACATATCTTTCTTTTTATGAACTTTCCCAATTTCCAGGCGAGTAATGTGTACAATGGGATGTGCATAGATTCACTTGGAAACAACAAAATTGGAGGAAAAGTCGGACTGTATACATGTCATGGACTTGGCGGAAATCAAGTAAGCCTTATGAATATTAGTGGTAACAAATGATTAACAAAGAGCTTAAACAAGCTACTTTTTGATTTACGAACGTAGACCCGGAAGTAAATGGAGCCACTATATTTGGCGACAGTCGTTCTTGTTCGAAAGCAGGAAAGCAAGACTGCATTATGTGATTCAATACATTGATGTCAATGACGAATTGCTGACGCCAATAATAAACGGTTAAATTATGTACGGCTGACGTATGTGTTGTCATAGGTTAAGTAAGAACTGATGTGCAACTTCAGTAAAAAAGTTGTCCCATGGTCGCCATCTTCCGAGCAAGTGTCGCTCCCGTGATAATTCGTCATTTGGCAATACGTCATTGCTTTCAAAAAAGCTTTCAATACCTATACTATAACTTCTATTGCTTTCAAAAACTTTAAACATTCAACAAATGATGCTCTTGATTGTTTAATCCATAAATTTCGATCCAAAAAAAGCCGCAATAGAATCCAAAAGCTTGTGATTTTCAGGACGCAATTTTGCTAGCAAGTATCATGGCGTGCAGGACAATGACGTGTACATCTAGGTAATTTTGAGAACACGAAGTCCTATTAGGTTACACATCTGGTATATACTTCATCTGTGGTGTTGTCAAGAACGTCGCTTGTTTAACTCTCTAATGAACATATCCTGAATGGTCATGTTGTTTTGAACAACTACCAGTTCTTGTAAATAATTGGTATTTCTGTTGGTATACATGTAACGTTATCTGTGATATTTTGTGTTTGTAAAAATCATTAATTAGTTATCTAGCAATCACCGTAATAATATTCATTAACGTACAACCAACTGGACTCTGTAGCTCAGTTGATCAGGACCTATGATAGTGAAGCCTATGTACGCATTTGTGGCAGTTGTTCTCTAATTCCAAAAAATGTATAAAGTTCTGTATATCTACAAAAATCCTTCAACAATCATTTATCCTTCAACAATGAATTATTCTAGACTTTCCAAAGTCCTTCGCTAGCGCTCTACCTCTGGGCTTCAAGAAAAAGATAAGCAGTGCATGAAGATAGCTATCCAGTTATACTTATTTCACTCTGCTTAGTACCTTCTGAACCGGTGTATTAGGACGGATTAAACGTTTTCGTCTTGTCATCTTTATACAGTAGCTTTATTATCACATTGTGCTATTTCATATGAAATTTTAAATTTAGTTATTGCATGCAAGTTCGATCTAACAGTTGTTCTGCTGGATTTTAGTTCTTCATCTACACAAAAGAGTTGGAATTTTGGCACAATGATTACTGTATAGGCATTATAAAACCACAAGTTGGAATGAAAGTCATGTTCTACAAATGTCGTGATTTAAATGCTTTACAAAAATGGGAACATACAAGGGTAAGTATAAAGTTACAATATGTGAACCTTACTCACATTTTTTTGGCAAGGAGCATATGAACATTCTCAATTAGATATGACGAAGTTAAGTCTCGCTAATACTAATATTCAACATTGAAGAGGTGGAGTAGGGGTTATGCATATAATGTGCAGTTTTAGCATTTTTAAAATCCGTATTATCGAGACTTAACTTCCTCATATTTGAATTTTTAAAAAATTGGAAACACCATAGAATTCGTACTGGAAATATCGCGAAAATATTCCGTGCAATTAAACGAAATAAAAATCTCGCTTCGAATTCCGGTTGACTCCATAGCTGAATAGGTAGAACGGAGGATTGGAGGTTTTCAAAGGAGCCAGCGCAAACCTGTTCCAAAACAGTTTTTCGATTTACTTCAAAAGTATAACAAATAATGTGGGAAAGCTTCTAGCTATTCACGTTTCTCTGGAAATAGTTCTGTAATTCATAGAAACGAAACATGGCCCATCCTCGCATCCTTTCATTTTTAAGTCGTTGCAAAAATATTCCGTGCGCTTAATTAAGGCTTAAACTCGCCATTCGCTATTTCAGTTGACGTCGGATGTAAACCAAATCATGCATGTTTGCGCAATGTAAACTCGTTTACACATTTTCCGTTATTCATATTTCTTTGTAGAAATATTTTAGTATGTTTTTAACACCAGGAAGGTAATCTAGTTTTAACCGTAAGGCCCAATTTTTATTGTGATTAGTCCAAAGTACGACATTTGGTATGTACATCATTTTCATTGTTTATTGTAAGAAGAAATGCAGTACAGTATGTCTCTAATTTTGATCATCTTTCCTTACGATCGATGTAATTAGATGAATTGCAGATTAGTTTCCTTTGTCCACCCACCCCTCCCCCCCCCAAAAAGATTGAGCTAATGACATTATTCATATCCAGAAACTTCGACTGTGAAAAAGTTGTTCAAGATGTGAATTTTTAATATATAGATATATCAGATTTATATTTTCTAGTTAATAACTGCCAAATATAACAACTACAAAAAAACATATTTGGGGCTAGTCGCAATTTAAACGTCATTCATACACGTGTCGAACAATGCTAAGAAACTCAAACAACGAGTCATAGCCGGATTTTGATGGGAGAAGCCCAACTTCCCTGACATTTTCGAATGTCTTTAACTCCAATCGTTCTTTCTTATTAATACTCTATCTAGGACGAGTTCATCCGACTCTCCGGTCACAATCTGTGCATGGAATCTCTCGGACGCGACATTGTACTAAAGCCATGTACGTACGGCATAGAGCAGAAATGGAGATTTTCGTCTTATCCATATTATGAAAATATTCAATCAAAACATTAACGTAAGGGAAAGAAACAGTTGACAAATTGGCGTGCTCTAGCTAGCTAGGGAAGTGGAAATTTTGCCCCAAAATTGCCGGAAAGATGGACGACGGATGGACGGGCATGGATAGATCGATATTGAACATCAAGAAAAACAAGGCTGGTCAAGACGTAGCTGAGCTATGGGTCAGAGTAAAAATAAACCTGCATCGTGCTTAGAAAATATTCTAATGTATAATGAGGAAAGGTTTAGGAACAAACTAAATCAATTATAATTTATGTGGTACAACGCTGTTTTTTTGCTTCTCTGCATTGAGTCATCATCCGTTATCCAACGGCAGACTATTTAGGAGAGAGATGAAACTGAACGTAGATAGATTTATACATTTAATTATTTAATCCAAAACAAATCATGATCTTTCGTAATGACGGGCACTAAGACTGGCAATAGAGCTTTTTGCTATCCGACCGAATACCGAGTATGTCAGATAGTTGAAGAAAGTAAACTTTAAGCAAGCGGCACTTTTGTGATCACGGACTTTGTCATATTACTTACCACAAACTTACATAAACACAGTTTTTTAATCCAGTCTCTCCGGACCTTGGAAATCTGACTTCCGTGTTGACAAAAATGTCGTTTGCTTAAGCTCCCTAACATCCGCCCGGATACCGGATAATACTTGAAGTAATAGGAAAGAACCAGTTTGCAGTCTAACGTGCATAAAACTGCAAAAACCTTGCCAGCAAATTTAGAATTGTTCGGCTACACTATTCAAAAACTTGATTGTTGTCAACTTCGTCCCCAGGTTCATCCCTCTTTAGGAGGAAAGACCCTGGCATAGCTTATCACGTGACTCGCAGATTACTGGTGCTAAATTGAAATTGTACTTAGAGAGGGATGGTAAAGGAGTGCGCTTGTTATGTTTGGAAAATTACTGCTTGTGTGTTATAGTTTCGGGTGATAAAATTCAGTAAATTTGCAACAAGAAATCCTGAAATATTTCATATTTATTATGGGACGTCTTCCCCTATATCAATGAGTGTTGGGTTACATTAGTCAAGCGAGAAGTTGAATCAGATTTCAGTCAGTGGACATCAAGGCCTGGTAACGAAAGCACGCTTCGCTCAGTTCGCTGTAAAAAATCTTCCGGACCGAAGATTCTTTCTGTTGTCAGTTTTGAAGTGCATCCTGTATGATACGTAAACCCAACGGGTTTACCATTTGTACAGATGTGGAATTGCTATAAAATAGCAAGATCGTATGATCCTGCCAACTGTGTGTAAATTCTAAACATGCTCTCACAACTGTGAAAAGCCCTTCTAATACTGTGATATATACCATTTTGGCATCGGCATTGGTGAGACTTTATGATCAAGAATTATGCCGAGGTATAGCTCTCTGTCATCAAACATGTGATAAAAACAGGTGGGAAATTTGTCGTCGCTGACCAAAAAATCGCGGGCAGAAACAAAGCTCCATTGCATTTACGTTCAAAATAAAGCCGAAAGTTAGCAAGAAGCTGTTTTAGTTGACGATTTTTTGCTTTCCATTCAAAGAGTGCATAGAAAAACGACTAGCGCTATGGAAAGAAGAAGTCGAGAGCTTACTTCCTGAAGGCCGGTCCATTCAAAAACGTCTAGCAAAGGCTAAAAGGACGGAGCCTCCAAATAAAGCGAAGATATTCGCTAAGTTGGTCATGGAAGGTCAGATCAATTCTGCTGTGAGATATCTCAGTGAGGCTTATTGTGATGGAGTGCTGCCTTTGACTGACGACGTGACGAGACAGCTTCAGGAGAAACACCCTGAGGCACAAGAGGCCAAACTTGGTTCGTTACTCTTCGGGACATTTGAGGAAGTGCACAATTCGTTATATCAGCAGATTGATTGCGAAATGATACGCGAGACAGCATTGCGAACCAAGGGCTCCGGCGGCCCTTCAGGAGTGGATGCAAATGGATTCGAGCGTATTTTCGCATGTAAATCGTTTAAGAAATCAGGCGTAAACTTGTGTGAGGCAGTAGCAACAATGACCCGGCGGCTATGTACGGAATACATTGACCCGAGAACTATCGAGCCTATATTAGCCAACAGGCTTATACCTCTTGACAAAGGCGAGGGCGCTGTTCGTCCAATTGGCGTCGGGGAAGTTATCAGGAGGATTGTCGGGAAATGTGTTATGAAAGTGATTAAGCCCGACGTGATAGATGCCAGTGGATCGCTACAGGTGTGCGCAGGTCTTAAGAGCGGAAGTGAGGCAGTCGTTCATGCGATGCACTCCATATTTGAAGCAGATGCTATTGGCGATGAGCTAAAGAGTGAAATTAATCGACTTAACCTCGAAAATACTTCGCTTCTTGAGAGAAACCTCAATCTGTTATGCACTGTCTCAGATTTGAATACCAAAATTAAGGATTTAGAGAATGACAAAATGAGTCTAATGACAGCCATTAAGTTACTCCAGGTTGATGTTAATGTTCTGGGGGAAACCACAGGATCTTGGACTGAAATCAGAAGTAATAAGAAGGCTGAATCCAAACATCCAACGGACAGTTCGCATGCAAGTAGATCTTCGGTAATCACTGTTGACGATTCGTTCGATGATAAACCTAAAGGCCCCTCGGTGAGAGTTAATAAAAACAGGTTTCCCTACTTAGCGTGGAAGGAACAGACACCAGTGCCAATGAGGTAAGAAATTCAAATGTGAATGTTATTACGCCAAATACATCCGATGATGGACCCAGAAAGAATGATCAAAGACAAAAGAGCAGGGGTGATGGTTTTCAAGGCATTTGAGGAAGTGCACAATCGTTATATCAGCAGATTGATTGCGAAATGATACGCGAGACAGCATTGCGAACCAAGGGCTCCGGCGGCCCTTCAGGAGTGGATGCAAATGGATTCGAGCGTATTTTCGCATGTAAATCGTTTAAGAAATCAGGCGTAAACTTGTGTGAGGCAGTAGCAACAATGACCCGGCGGAAGACGATATGTTGTCTGATGGTTTGATGTCTGTTCATAATTATGACCTGATTCGTACTGATCGGAATAGGCAAGGTGGTGGTCGGGTTTGCCTATATATTAGAAGTAATTTAAACTATCTTAATCGAAATGATTCAATCCCTGCTACTCTTGAAGCAGTCTGTGTTGAAATTCACAAACCAAACAGTCAACCATTCATTGTTGCTAGTATATATAGATCTCCTAGTGCAAGCTCTCAGTATTTTTCTATGATAGAATCCTTTATTGATGAACTTGATAGTGAAGGTAAAGAAATTATTGTGGTTGGTGACTTAAACTGCAATATGTTAGATTCGTTGAATTCGGTATCCAAAAAACTAAATGACTTTTTGAATGTCTATCAACTTTCCCAATTAATCGTTAAACCTACTCGTGTAACTCAAACCACAAGCTCCTTATTGGATGTCTGTATCTCCTCACTCCCTGACAAAATTATATATTCGGATGTAATTCCAATCGGAATTAGCGATCACAACT